AGCCACTGTGTGAGAGCTGAGCAGCCAAAGGAAATTAAGTGAGGAGTAAGTAAGGAGCCGGCTCTCGCTCAATGGGAGTTGACTCTTCTGATTCATTACAAAGCGCTCTGTAAGCACGGCTCTTAGAGCTGATGCTTTTGCACACTAGGGCTGCCACAATTGATTATTCTGATAGTCGACTAGTCACAGAGTATTTTTGCGATTAGTCGACTAATCAGATCATCATCCATTGTGTCATGATCCTGGGTCTTTTGACCCAGCGTTTTAAGTTTGAGTTTATTTTGTTCATTAGGTTATCTAAGTTCATTTGTTTATTAGATTCCCCTTGTGTATCCAACCCCTGTTAAGTCTCCCTTGTCCTTCATGTGCTTCACGTCTGTGTTTCTTATGTTGTCATGTTTGCGTTTCATTATGTTTCCCATTTTATTTTGAAAGAGGTCCTGTGTCCCTGCATTTTGTTTTGCTCTTCCCCTGTGGCATTGTTATGTTCATGTTGTGTCTACTGTGCCTTTCTGTTCCATGTTTCAGGTCCCTATGTTCTGTCTCCTCAGTCTGTTAAGTTCACATGTCTTGAGTTCCGTCAGTGTGTTTCCTGTTTTACTTTCACAGTCTGTCCTATGTTAATGTTTCTAGTTTTGCTTCCCTTGTCTCGTCCTGCCTAATTACTCCCAGCTGTGCTCTCCTCCTGTGGCTCATTCCCCCTCGTTATCCCTCAGTGTATTTAAGCCCCATGTTTCTCTTTGTCAGTGTTGTGTCCTCCCTCATAGCTGTGTGATTTTTTTTCCCCTGTGGCTCCTTGTGCTTTAGTTTTCCCAGTTTAGTTTAGATTTGTATTGTTTTTCGTGTCCCACTCCACGCCAGCAATAAAGCTGTGTTTTTTGAGTTTACTTTTCGTCTCTGCGAGTTTGCGTTTGGGTCCTACTCTTGCCTGCACACAGCCGTATTGTGACACATTGGACGTAAAACGTACAGCTTATTGCACCAGCAGCATCTGCTCTTATATAACTATCATTAGCTTACAGCTTTAAGTGTTTCAGGTGCTAACTAACAATAAAGACAAGATAATAGTTTATTACATTTTAATGAAATTTGCAGATTGTTTGAAGTTTAATAAACTCCTTCTATCTAAAATATAACAGGACACCGGAGTAAATTCTCGAGCGTCTCACACTTCTGATAATCAGCTGTCTGCTTGACGTTTATTCAGCTGTGTAAAAACTATAACTTTAATCTCAGCCAAACCGATTTACTCAGGAACAAATAAAATACTGAAAAAAGCCAAACAATAACATTTTTAAGTTATCTAAGTGACTCATATATCATGTTTAACCTGAGTAGCGAAAGATGGAGGTGGGTTTGAAAACGATTTGCCGGGAGTCCGGTGTTCTCACGGCTCTAGTGAGCCTTGCCCCCGGCTAGCTATCGAGCTAGTGGGTAACAGACGTCTCCGAAAACGCCGGAGCGCTTTTGAAAATATGTGGTGTCCTGATAAACTGAGCAGATATTTGAGGTTTACACAGCTACATTCTCCATGAAAATATGTTAAACGTTTATTTTGTGACCCAGAAAGAATAATAAGAGTAATATTAAAACTAACTAGCTGCCGCCATTGTTGACAACTGAGCAGGGCGCTATGGATTCTGTGATAGGCAGTGTTGGGGAGTAACGGAATACATGTACCGCCGTTACACATTTAAAATACAAAATATGAGTAACTGTATTCCGTTACAGTTACCGTTTAAAAAGGTGGTATTCAGAATACAGTTACTTTGCTGAAATAAATGGATTACACTGCGGTACTTTCCTGTTTCATTTTGTCGCGGGTCAGGAATGTTTGGGTTTGTTTGACAGCTACGCTCTGTTGTTCCAGGCGGCAGCGTTACGGTTGCCATGGTTACAGGGCGACGCTGCGACTGTGTGTTTCCTGGGTGAGAGAGCGCCTTTTCGTTGTTGTTGTGCTAAGCTAACAGGCAGAATGCTACAAGCATAGCTCTAAAGAATGTAGCATCATGGGCAGTGTAGTCCGTGCTGCAGGGAGAATGGACTGCCATACCCGTTATGTGTCTGTGAGCGCTAGGAGGGAGAAAAAGGGGAGTGGAAAGGTACGAGTTATCATCGAGGAAAAACGGGAGCTGGAAGCATGTAAATATAATAATAACCACTGCAGCCAAGAAGAGAGCCTGACGAGCCCAGTTGTAAGTAAGCTATTAAGACTCGACTGTACACCGTGTTCGTGTTTTCCTCCGAAAACAATAAGTTCCGTTGGAGCAGCCTTTCAACGCCTCTCTCTGTCTCTCGCTAGCAAAGTTGACCCAGACAACAAAGTAAAGCTATTTTTCGGCTACGAGCCGACAGGGACCCCGCCGTATTAGCCAGAGGTCCCTTTACTACAGTTCGGAGTTGCGGACCTTCAGTAATAGTAATAAATCACACAGCAATAGTACATTCATGTTGTTGTAAAAAGCATGATAATATATTAAGTAATCCAAAGTATTCAGAATACGTTACTGTCATTGAGTAACGTAACGGAATACGTTACAGAATACATTTTGGGGCATGTATTCTGTAATCTGTAGTGGAATACATTTTAAAAGTAACCTTCCCAACACTGGTGATAGGTTGGGCCACAAAGTATACACCCGACCCATCCTTCAAATCTGGGGAAATGAAAGACACATTTGTCGGAGTCTTTGAATTTGGACAGTCTTCGTCGTGTAGCTGTAACGTAACCGGCCTACAAATGCGACAACACGAGGATGCGGTTCCTGAATTTGGACACAGCTACGATACCGGACACAGCTTCTTCTTCTCTTCGGGGTTTAACGGCAGCTGGCATCCTTGTACATGCAGTGCTGCCATCTTCTGTTTCAGTCCGTTATTACACTCTTAAATCCTACTACTTATTCCTCTTACAAAGCTTCAAACGACGCGTCGACTATTAAATCACTCGTCGACGATTTTGATAGTCGACTAATCGTGACTAGTCGACTAATCGTGGCAGCCCTAGTATGTAGTGTCATAAATTTGCATCCATTCAGTTGATGATATAGCAAATGTATAAAATTACTTACACTGCTGGGATTACAGCTGACAGAGAAAACAGTCTATTTGTTTTAGAAACAAGTCCTAATAAAAGTCCTTAAAAAGTCGAAATAACACTGAAATCATTGAGAGAAAAACGTTGTGACAAAAGTCACAGTAAGATGTAGAGTTCAGGGTCACTAACCTGTTGGTAACCTTTTATCAGTGCCTCCTGCTCTTTTATTTCTTTATCAATCTGCTGGAACTTTTCATCTGCAGCAACATCTGCAGCCTCCACCCACCTCTTCTTCTGAATGGCTTCTTCTGCACTTCTCAGCTGTTGAGAGAAAAAAGTCTTACCCTGGCAGTACCCAAATAAGAATGGGCCATCCTACAGATTTTCCATATATATGGAATGAAAGTAGTGACGTGTTTGTGCACCTTGCTTTGCAGTAGGTAATTCTGCTGTCTGAGTGAGCTGAGCTCCTCTGCTCCTGCCTTCATCATCTGCAGCTCCCTCTCCTTCTGTGCCAGCTGCGTCCTCAGCTCCTCCAGCACGGAGCTGTCGTGGCCAGTCTGAAAGGCAACAAACCAAAGTCACGTCTCTCTTTCAGCAAGAATCAGTGTGCACAGGAGCTGCAACATGTTTTTGCTTTTCTCCTATTGAACACACATTTTGACAGTATGTTTGTGTTGTGACGCTCTAAATGTAGTGTTAGGTAAAACAACACTGTCCTTGTAAAAGGTGAAAAACACTACGGATGAACGTGTGAAATCCTTTAAGCAGAGGCTGTGGCACTTTAGCTCTGCAGCTCAGTCACTCCCTGGATGGCTCTCAGTTTGCTAAAGTGATGTGCAAACAACAAAGGCTCTAACTTTACTCACATCTTTCCATGTTAAAGATTTTATGTGTTAGGACCCAGAGCTGTACCAATGACCAGCTACTACTAGGATCTGTAAGCTTCAGGCTCTGCTTTGGTAACCAGCAGCAGATTTTAGGTACACAGACTTCATCCCACAAAGAGCTGGGCCTAACACTGTCAAACATGGCAAAAGGAGACCTCTGGAAGTTCAGCTCAATCTCAATGCCAGACACCAACACAGACATCGAACAGGCTGGAGAGAGGACACATCCCTTCCATCTCCAATACCCTAAATGTCCTGTTACTACTGTAACTTGGCTTCAGATAAGTAATAGAAAATGAATGGATTCATGTTCGCTGTATGATGTTGTTCAAGAAAAGCAGAGGTCATGGTTACTGCTGACACGCTTAGTATTAGAAGTTGAGATGGAAGTAAGCATGAGGGTGTTTGGTAATCCAATGCCACGTTCTAGATGCAGCCGGAAATTTAAATTTCCAAGTTCCAGTCAGAATATCATCTGGAACGTTCCCTCAAATCAATTAACTAATATCCCAGGAATGAAAACTGCACTGACACTGTTGTGTATTCAAGACTCACTAAATAAGCAGTGCGCAGCACACAGACCAGGCTCTATCCATCAACGTGCTGCATGAGTGTTTCTCAGCACAAAACAACAAAAGTGTTACGGCAGAGGTTCCCAAAGCGGGGACGCAGAGCCATTGCAAGGGGAGTATGGATGAAAAACGTGTGGACCCTGCTGGCATAACGGACAGGTTTTTGACAAGCAGAGGATGAAGCATCTCCAAATATGTTTCCAAACCAACTTCCTTCCAAGTCAAAGCACAGATGATCATATCTTCCCTTTGGCTTCACCTGCACAAGTGCAAAGGTAGGTCTCCCTGCAGGATTAGTTTCCCCTGCGTCAGGAGGAGCGCCGGGCTGTTTAAATCACGGACACGGACGAATGTATTGACAGCAATGCTGAATATTATTACACAGGAAAAAACAACTACACAAAATAGACCATGACACCTTTCTAAATGGAGGGACAGTAACTGTGTGTAAGTGTGAACACAGGAACCACTGTGTTATGGTGTAATGTTAATGATGCATTAATGAATCTACTTTGCTAAGATACAAAACAAGCCCTGTTTTCCTCTTTTCCAGCTTCATCACTGGAATGTGAGTGATGAAGTAAGTGAAGCCACTGCAGAGTTCAAACAAGATTAGCCAAACACAGCACAACAGCTGTCGTAATCTTCCTGAAGTTATACAGGTTATTACCAACCACACAGAGTAAAAAGAACAATGTGAAAAGATGCTGGTGGTCAGGAAAACCTGCACACACAGTATTTCCTTACACTGATCTGTGGAAGATGTTGCTCCAGCCTGGTTTCTCTGACTTCCTGTGCAGAATCCTGGTGTTTGGTAGCATCTATTTGCTGCTGGAGGACAGCCACTAAGGACTGAACAGATGCCACTAGTTCATTCCTCACTGTTACTCCTGGTTCTACCAGTGAAAACACACAGAAAGGGATTCAAAGAAGTGCTACAAAGTCAGGACGTTACAAGGTAAACTGACAGAATTGATGCTGGTTGATAAGAAATGAAGTTAAGCAGTTCTCCAATGATCGATCAATGAGTTTCTAACAGTGTGGAAAGCACACGATTCTTTCCTACATTATTTAAGCCTCTGATGACTTGATGTGTGCAGTTAATAACCTGTGCAGTCCCAGCAGTCTTCGTGGTTCTTTGTGGATGTCGCTCTGTGTGGACACTGTGAGGAAACAGCAGACCGGGTTTTGGCTGGTGTAGCAGAACCTCTACTTATCCCCGATGACCTTGAAGTCACCGCCGTTCTCCCATCCAGGCGCTTGCCTCTTACAGGAGCTGGAGTGGCTTGTCTCATTGAAGAGGTACAGGAAGGAGAAGTGAGGGAGCCACGGGAGGCCTGAGAAAAACGTATAATGCAAAGTGTGAATGTAATCTCTTTTCTACAGTAGCGCCTTTTATATAGTTTGCTCACCGGGTGTTTCTTAGTTTTGCCAGTGTGAGATGATGTGAGAGAAGAGCTTTTGGTATGATCCTGCATCAGCTTGTCTACTTCTGCTCTGATGCTGCAAATCAGATCCTTGTTGGGGGGGTGAGCAGCACTGATTGGGTGGCTTGTCGACTCCTCGGCCCCATTTATTGCTGCAGCTGCAGGGTGCTGTGCCTCATCCGGGAATGCCCTTTCCAGTCCCCTGGAAGTCTTTTCATGGTTGGGCTCCACAACACTGCAAAGTGACAACCACAGTAAAAAAGAAACAAAATATTTTGTGTATTGTAACTTTACAGTTACTACTGTAACTATTTTTTCAGAAGAGTGTCAGTGATGTCACGATGATGAGTTCTTCTAAATACACACAGACGGTGGATAATACATTTTTTCTCTCATATTCATCTACATAAATGAGTACACATTAGTGCCAAGCAGAAGACTGTGGACGGACGGACGGGTGGACAGGCTTCAGCATGAGTCGTCACATCTGCCCGAGTTTCATTGATAGGTAACACATTTAGCTCACCTGTCACATTTGCCTTTGCTGTGTAAACTACATACTTTTATTTTCTTGGAGGGTGCAGATGGTTTCCTAATTATTACAATCCATTTCATAATCATTGACACTCTGAGTCCAGACCTTTTACCAACAGAAAACATTTGATTCATCATGAAAAATAAAGAAGAGTCAGGAATGATGAGCAGCTGGACAAGAATGGGACAACAATGCTCTACAACATGTCCAGCAGCTGGTTTCCTACTTCCAGATGTTTCAGGACTGTTGTAAGAAGAGGGGCTGGTACACATGGCCCAGTGTTTTTGAGATGTGCAGCTATCATTAAATACAACAGATTTTTTTTTTATTGTACATTTTATAAATATCCGATATATTTTCTTTGTTTTGCTGGGAACAAATAGGGGCTTCAACATATTTGCAAATCAATGCAAAGCGCTTTAATTAACATTCTGCATAGCCTCCCTGACTTTTAGAACTGATGATCACAGAAGTGATCCCTGTGTGTTGGCCCTGCGACAGACTGGCGACCTGTCCAGGGTGTACCCCGCCTCTCGCCCTATGACAGCTGGGATAGGCTCCAGCGCCCCCCGCGACCCTGAAAAGGAGAAGCGGAAGCGAATGGATGGATGGATGATCACAGAAGTTGTCATGCTCTCCATAACGATCGATGCTTTCATTATTTTGTTTTGGACGATTACTGTTTGTTTCACTGTTTTTGTTTGCGAGTTTATTCTTTGCTTCACTTCTTGTTTTATTGCTAGCAGAGTTCCTCCAGTTGATCATCCCAACCCACGGATGAACTGCTGTCCACGGCATACCAAGAACTCTTGTTTATTATAATAATAATAATAATAATAATAATAATAATGATGGATTGCATTTATATAGCGCTTTACAATGCCACTATTCATTCACTCTCACATGTTAGCCGTTAGCATGCGTCCGTACTATCTGCCCCGGGAATTCTCGCATGTTATCGCAATAACAGCGTATGTCCCCCCCTCGGCCAACGCGGATGCAGCCTGTGAGACTCTCCACTCAGTGGTCAGCAGACTGCAAACACAATCTCCGAGAGCCCTTCTCATAATATCAGGGGACTTCAATCATGCCTCTTTGGACTCCACACTGCCCACCTTCACCCAGTATGTGACCTGCTCAACCAGAGTCAATAAAACACTGGACTTACTGTATGCCAATGCAGAAGAGGCATACAGTTCATCACCTCTCCCTCCACTGGGTAAATCTGACCACAACCTGGTGCACCTTGTCCCTGTGTATGAGCCCTTAGTGCGCAGGGAGCCACCTGCCACAACAATGCTCTCCAACATGTCCAGCAGCTGGTTTCCTACTTCCAGATGTTTCAGGACTGTTGTAAGAAGAGGGGCTGGTACACATGGCCCAGTGTTTTTGAGATGTGCTGCTATCATTAAATACAACAGATTTTTTTTTTATTGTACATTTTAGAAATATCGGATATATTTTCTTTGTTTTGCTGGGAACAAATAGGGGCTTCAACATATTTGCAAATCAATGCAAAGCGCTTTAATTAACATTCTGCACAGCCTCCCTGAATTTTTAGATCACAGAAGTGATCCCTGTGTGTTAGCCCTGCGACAGACTGGCGACCTGTCCAGGGTGTACCCCGCCTCTCGCCCTATGACAGCTGGGATAGGCTCCAGCGCCCCCCGCGACCCTGAAAAGGATAAGCGGAAGCGAATGGATGGATGGATGATCACAGAAGTTGTCATGCTCTCCATAACGATCGATGCTTTCATTATTTTGTTTTGGACAATTACTGTTTGTTTCACTGTTTTTGTTTGCGAGTTTATTCTTTGCTTCACTTCTTGTTTTATTGCTAGCAGAGTTCCTCCAGTTGATCATCCCAACCCACGGATGAACTGCTGTCCACAGCATACCAAGAACTCTTGTTTATTATAATAATAATGATGGATTGCATTTATATAGCGCTTTACAATGCCACTATTCATTCACTCTCACATTCATACACTGGTGGAGGCAGCTACAGTTGTAGCCACAGCTGCCCTGGGGCAGACTGACAGAAGCGAGGCTGCCATATCGCGCCATCGGCCCCTCTGGCCAACACCAGTAGGCGGTAGGTGAAGTGTCTTGCCCAAGGACACAACGACCGAGACTGTCCGAGCCGGGGCTCGAACCAGCAACCTTCCGATTACAAGACGAACTGCCAA